TCTTTAAATGTTTGGTAGAATTCCCCTGAGAAGCCATCTGGGCCTGGGCTCTTGTTTGTTGGGAGATTTTTGATGACTGCTTCAATTTCCTTACTGGTTATGGGTCTGTTCAGGTTTTCTATTTCTTCCTGGTTCAGTTTTGGTAGTTTCTATGTCTCTAGGAATGCATCCATTTCTTCCAGATTATCTAATTTGCTGGCATAGAGTTGCTCATAATATGTTCTTATAATTGTTTGTATTTCTTTCGTGTTGGTTGTGATCTCTCCTCTTTAATTCATGATTTATTTATTTGGGTCCTTTCTCTTTTCTTTTTGATCAGTCTGGCCAGGGGTTTATCAATCTTATTTATTCTTTCAAAGAACCAGCTCCTAGTTTCATTGATCTGTTCTACTGTTCTTTTGGTTTCTATTTCATTGATTTCTGCTCTGATCTTTATTATTTCTCTTCTTCTGCTAGGTTAGGCTTTTTTTGCTGTTCTTTCTCCAGCTCCTTTGGGTGAAGGGTTAGGTTGTGTATTTGAGACCCTTCTTGTTTCTTGAGAAAGGCTTGTATTGCTGTATACTTTCCTCTTAGGACCTCCTTTGCTGCATCCCAAAGATTTTGAACAGTTCTGTTTTCATTTTCATTCGTTTCCGTGAATTTTTAAAATTCTTCTCTAATTTCCTGGTTGACCCATTCATTCTTTAGTAGGATGCTCTTTAGCCTCCATATATTTGAGTTCTTTCCAACATTCCTCTCGTGATTTGAGTTCTAGTTTCAAAGCATTGTGGTCTGAAAATAGGCAGGGAATGATCCCAATCTTCTGGTACCAGTTGAGACCTGATTTATGACCCAGGATGTAATCTATTCTGGAGAATGTTCCATGGGCACTAGAGAAGAATGTGTATTCTGTTGCTTTGGGATGGAATGTTATGAATATGTCTGTGAAGTCCATCTGGTCCAGTGTGTCATTTAAAGTCTTTATTTCCCTGTTGATCTTTTTTTTTTTAAAGTTTTTTTATTTATTCATTCGAGACACAGAGATACAGAGAGAGAGAGAGAGAGCATGAGCAGGGGGAGAAGCAGAGGGAGGGGGAGAAGAAGGCTCCCCGCTGAGCAGGGAGCCCGATGCGGGGCTCGATCCCAGGACTCTGGGATCATGACCTGAGCGGAAGGCAGATGCTTAACTGACTGAGCCACCCAGGCCCCCTTTATCTCTCCTTCTATTTTCAGTGACAGCCTAGCTGGATATAGTATTCTTGGCTGCGTATTTTTCTCATTTAGTGTGCTGAATAGATCATGCCAGTCCTTTCTGGCCTGCCAGGTCTCTGTGGATAGATAGGTCTTCTGCCAATCTAATGTTTCTACCGTTGTAGGTTACAGACCTCTTGTTCCGAGCTGCTTTCAGGATTTTCTCTTTGTCTGAGACTTGTGAGTTTTACTATTAGATGTCGGAGTGTTGACCTATTTTTATTGATTTTGAGGGGGGTTCTCCGTGCCTCCTGGATTTTGATGCTTTTTTCCTTCCCCAAATTAGGGAAGTTCTCTGCTATAATTTGTTCCAATACACCTTCTGCCCCTCTCTCTCTTTCTTCTTCTTCTGGGATCCCAGTTATTCTAGTGTTGTTTCACTTTATGGTATCACTTATCTCGTGAATTCTGCCCTTGTGATGCAGTAGTTGTTTCTCTTTTTCTCAGCTTCTTTATTCTCCATCTTTTGGTCTTCTATATCACTAATTCTCTCTTCTGCCTCATTTATCCTAGCAGTTAGAGCCTCCGTTTTTGATTGCACCTCATTAATAGCCTTTTTGATTTCGACTTGGTTAGATTTTAGTTCTTTTATTTCTCCAGAAAGGGATTCTCTAGTATATTCTATGCTTTTTTTCAAGCCCAGCTAGTATCTTTATAATTGTCATTCTGAACTCTAGTTCCTACATCTTACTAATGTCTGTATTGATTAGGTCCCTGGCAGCCGGTACTGCCTCTTGTTCTTTTTTTGAGGTGATTTTTTCCATCTTGTCATTTTGTCCAGAGGAGAGTAGATGAATGAGAGAACAAAATGCTAAAAGGGTAAAAATGACCCCAGAAAAATATATACTAACCAAATCAGAAAAGACCCAAAACCGGGGGGAAAAGAAAGGGAAACAAACAAAAAATGAATATGATCAGGCTGGCGAATAGAACAGAGCCACACACTAGATTTTGGGTGTATTTTGGTCTGTTAGAAGAAATTGCCTCCAAAACTTTTTAAAAAAGAAAAACTTGTATATATACAAAAATAAGGGTAAGTATGATGAAGTGATGGAATATGACTGTAAAGATAAAAATTAAAAATGATTTTAAAAGAGGAATTGATAAAATGTTGGTTGAAAAAGGAAAGAAGAAAAATTCAACTAAAAAAAATAGAAAAAAAAAGAAAATTTAAAAAATTATCTTTGAACGACTAAAGAATCATGGGGAAAAAAGCCATGGATTCTATGTGCAGTATTCCCCCAGTGCTGGCGTTCTGCCGTTCTCATTGATCGGTAAACTTGTTCTTGGCTGGCTGTTCTTGCTGATCTTCTGGGGGAGGGGCCTGTTGCCGTGGTTCCCAAATGTCTTTGCCAGAGGCAGAACTGCCCTGCCCTTGCCGGTCCGGACTAAGTAATCTGCTCAGGTTTGCTCTCGGGATCTTTTGTTCCCTGCAAGCTTTCCTACAGCTTTGGAGGATGAGAGTGAAAATGGTGGCCTCCCAATCTCCACCCCGGAGGAGCTGAGAACTCGGGGCCCCACTCCTCAGTGCGCCCCCAGAGAAAAGCAGTCAATCACTCCTGTCTCCCCGGTCTCCGGCCGCACTCCATGTTCACCCGGCCTGTGACCGAGCACTTCTGTCTCTGGCACCCAACCCAGTGTGGAGTCTTCAAACCCAGCAGATCCCTGTGGTGCACTTCCGCGCCGCTCTTCCCCGGGGAGGAAGGGGAGTCTCCCCGGATCTGCCGCTTGTTGGGTCGCTGCTGGAGGAGCAGTGGCCCGACTGTGCCAGATCACGGTTTATGGCAACCCCGAGCTGAGACCCCGTGCCTTGGCTCCATCTCTGCAGCCGGCTTCCCCACTACAATACCTGGGAGCTCTGCCGCACTCAGGCACCCCCGGTCTTCCTGTGACCCCGAGGGTCCTGAGAACACACTGTCCCACGAGGGTTCCACCCCCCTGCTTAGCCACCGGAGTGACGTCCCTCAGTGGAGCCGACTTCTAAAAGTTCCGATTTTGTGCTCCGCGGCTCTATCACTTGCCAGAAGCAGCTGATGGAGGCCCCCGCCCCCGCCGTCTATCCTCCTGAATATCACCTCAGATTCACTTCTCTGCACGACCTGCCGTCCAGAAAGTGATCACTTCTCTGTTCAGAGAGTTGTTGCTATTCTTTTCTTCGATCTCCTGTTGAGTTCATAGGAGTTCAGAATGGTTTGATCCCGATCTAGCTGAATTCCTGGGACCAGACGAAATTTAGGTGGCCTACTCCTCCACCATCCTCCTCCCCCTCCTGTTTGTTTTTTTTTTTTAAGATTTTATTTATTTATTTATTTACTTGAGAGAGAGAAGGAGCAGGGAGGAGAGAGAGAAGCAGGCTCCCCACTGAGTAGGAAGCCCGAAGCGGGACTTGATCCCAAGGCTCCAGGATCACGACCTGAGCCAAAGGCAGATGCTTAACCGACCGAGCCACCCAGGCGCCCCTCACTGCCTGGTTTTTAAAACGGTTATCAGTTGATTTGTCTTGGTCTGATGAATATATTCAAAAATTTATGGTTCATCTTCTTTTTGCCTTGGTTCCTGAAATTTGTTGTTGAAGGTTTTACCAGTTGTCTAGTAATACCTGGCAGTTTATGAACTGAAATATCTGGTATTCAGTGAAAATTAGCAGTGATGTCAGCTATCAGGTGTCCAATCACAGAACGTCTGCTGTGTCCTCACTTTTCTTAACTGCAGCAGATACCAATGTGCGATTTCTATAAACACCTGCAGCCCCTTCCCTGGGTTACATCGGAGTTAGAGCTTTTCTTTCTGTGGATTTCTCACTGCACCTTCCCCTGTGGGTCCCCTGTGTTCTTAGCCTGACTTTTACTTACGTGGTCCCTACAGTCACTGGCAGATGAGGCCCAGGAGAGCATTTTATTATTATACGATGAAACTTTCCTCTCTGGCACATCGTATATAATTTAAAAACTTGAAGTTGGCTGGGACGCCTGGGTGGCTCAGTCAGTTAAGCGTTGGACTCTTGATCTCGGCTCAGGTCATGATCTTGGGGTCGTGGGATCGAGCCCCATGTCGGGTTTCCTGCTTAGTTGGATCTGCTTCTCTCCCTCTGCCTCTTCCCCTCCCCCACTCAAATAAATAAATCTTAAAAAAAAAAAAACACTTTAGTTGGCTAACTAGAACTGTAACTTCCGGTTACTTTATACACAATAGTTGTTATAATCAAAGATTGTTTAATCTAGAAGCCTGGCTGTTGAATTATCTATCTTCAGTTTTTGCCTTATTGACTAGTTCAGAGACCCACTACAGTTATTTTCTCTCTTTTCATCTTGCATGTGGTGTTCACTTATAATAACTGTTCAACCCATAGTTTTCTTATATTTTTTTAGTAGGTAGCAGAAAGAATATTTGAAAGAGATGGTCTAGGGGTGCCTGGGTGGCTCAGCCAGTTAAGCATCCAACTCTTGGTTTCAGCTCAGGTCGTGATCTCAGGGTCCTGGGATCGAGCCCCACATCGGGCTCCCTGCTCAGCGGGGAATCTACTTGAGATTCTCTCTCCCTCCCCCCCCCCACTCACAAGCACATGCGTGCACACTTGCTGTCTCTCTCATAAATTAATAAATCTTAAAAAAAAACATGGTCTAGAGTTCTAACATTTTGTGATATTAAACATGGTATTTTGAATGCCATTGAATCTCATTTATGTAAAAGCTCAGTGACATTGTGTTGCTTGACGAGGTCAACCATTTTTTGTTTTTTTCTTTCCTAACAGTTTGTGATTGATCTCCTAGGTTTTAATATCTTCCCGTCATCCTCCTCCAGCCAGAGTGGCATTCAGCCCAGCCTCCACAGAGAAGAGCCCACTTCCCACAGTCCCCGTGCGGAGCCCAGAGCATGGTGCCCTGACCCCTCCCACTAGCCTTGTCCCCACTGAGCCCACCCCACCAGAGCAACCTGCGTCTCCGACCGCTGCTCCCAGGACAGGTAACTGTGAGAACAATACAGCTGGAGAAAAGTACAAAACCATGCTGTCGAATAGACTAGTGGCAACGTTAAGGTTTACTCGTCCCCTCCAGGCACATCTTTAAGCCTCTCTCCTGCACTAGACACGGTGCTCCCCACCAGCAATGAAAACATGAACTTTGTCTGTTCCTCAGTGATCTGTAGGGCAGCCAGTGCGAGGGACGGGTGAATAGTTGGTCTTCATATACTACGGGAAGTGCTGTGACAGGAGCGACGGGAGGCGCCTGACCTTTCTGAAGGGCCAGGAAGCCTTTCCAGAGGTGGCGGTGCTGGGATAGAACAAGCTGAAGTGGGGTTGGTGTGTTGTGTAGGTCAGGGCAGCGACATGCAATAACGATAATGATAATTCTGTTCAGTGAGTACTCACGGAACGCTGGGCACTGTGCCCAGCGTTTCCTGCCCCGTGCAAGAGAATGAAAGTACAGGGGTGCTCTGACATTTTGGGAGAGCAGTCAGGAGGTCAGTCTGGCTGGAGCTGATCATGTGCGTGAGAGGGAAGGGCAAGGTATGAATCTGGAGTGGGAAGCAGGGCAAGATTTCAAAAGATCTGTAATCTGTGCTAAGGAGTTTGTGCTTTATCGGGTAAGTGTAGAGAATCTCTGAGTGATTTTAAGCAGGAAAATGAAATTATGAGATTTGTCTTTGAGAAAATAATATGGAGTCAACTGGAGACAAGAAGATCCATTAGGACTAGAGGGAGTGGTTGCAAGGATGGAGAGAAGGAACCAGACTGAAGCGGTATCAGGGGGCTGGGATCATTAGGATTTGATGAGTGGCTACTGGCAGAATCTCAGGACTCTGAGATCGATGAGCACATGGGACTAAAAGTTAGATGAGCGGTGGGCTGAAGATAAAGGATCAGGAGTCGTCAGCAGAGAGGTGGTGACTGAAGCCTGAGGGCACACATGGGACCTTCCACGGAGGGCAGTGGGTGAGCTTGGGAGAGGCCTGAAGAGGAACTCTGGAGACGTCATTACATTAGGAGCTGGAAGACCAGAAGGAGCCTCCAGAGCTGGCTGAGTGGTCTTGCCAGAGAGGCAGGACATCAGGAGGAGGGCATGGATTGAGGGAAGGAAAGAGAAACTTCCGAGTAGGAAGATGTCATGAAGGAGCCAGGGGTTGCAGAGATCATGGCAAACACTGAAGAGCTCCCATTAGATTTACTAATAAAGGAGGTATTGGAGACCTCGTTTCCTAAGCCCTTCTATGGGGATAACTCTCTCTGCCTTGTTGATTTGCTTTGATCCTGAGCTTGAGTACAGAGAAGGGTAATAGCAGAAGAGAAGCCATGTGGTGTTTTGGAAAGGAAACCAGCCTGGGAAGTAGGAGCCTTGGGTTCTCATAGGACCTATTGCATGGAGTTGTTAGAAGCTTAGATGAAGTGATCATTTTAAAGTCCTTGGAATGGAGCCTGGCACAGTGTAATCTGGTATGTGTGTCTGTTGAGATAAATACATTTAAATTAATTATTAGTGGATCTCTTATTGCTAATTATTCGTATAACTTTGAGCAATTACTTGGCCTTTTAGGGCTCGGTTCCCTCATCTGTAAAATGATACATTGGGACCAGTGTCCCCTCTGGGTCCACAATTGCTGACTTTCAGGGCAGAGTCCGTGGAAATGATGGGAGAGAGGAGCCTGAGACACCAGGGAGGCCCCTGCAGCTGGTGTAGGAAGGCACTGGAAGGACGGGATACTGACTGAGGACAGGAGCGGGTTTGAGCCACATGGCCCCCCAGCATCTCCAAGGAGCTGAGACCTCTAAAGAGCACTCAGCTTAAGGAAAAAAGAAACAAAAAAAACTTTGCTTTTGTCTGTGTGATATCTTGACATTATCTCAGTTGTATTGTACAAGTGAAACGAATGTCCAGTTGCATCCAGCCAGTGGGTACATCAGTGTTGTGCTGGTTATGGAGAAGGTGAATGGACATGGTTCTGAGGGCCGGCTTAGTGGGTAAGTGCTTTTGATGAGAGTGAATGTGGTTATGGAGAAGGTGAATGGACATGGTTCTGGGAGCCGGCTTAGTGGGTAAGTGCTTTTGATGAGAGTGAACGTGGTTATGGAGAAGGTGAATGGACATGGTTCTGAGGGCCAGCTTAGTGGGTAAGTGCTTTTGATGAGAGTGAACGTGGTTATGGAGAAGGTGAATGGACATGGTTCTGGGAGCCGGCTTAGTGGGTAAGTGCTTTTGATGAGAGTGAACGTGGTTATGGAGAAGGTGAATGGACATGGTTCTGAGGGCCGGCTTAGTGGGTGCTTTTGATGAGAGTGAACGTGGTTATGGAGAAGGTGAATGGACATGGTTCTGAAGGCCGGCTTAGTGGGTAAGTGCTTTTGATGAGAGTGAATGTCCCCGCTGCCTGAGTTAAAATCGCCTCTTTATGGAGGTTGGGTTTTCTCTTGGAAAGGTTCCAAGAGCAAGGCCATTAGCGATAATTCATGAGGCTGCTATCAGAACTGAGCGGTATGTGACTAATGATACAGAAACACTTATGATTACACTCAATTTTTTAATAAAAATAGCTCATACCAGGGAGTCAGGAAGTGCTAAGTCTGGTAAGAGAGAAAAGAGACTCAACCCACAGTACCCTTGTTACCCAACACTGTGCTCAGTCAATCCAAATCATATTTTCTTTCTTTTTTTTTTTTTTTTTAAGATTTTGTTTATTTTTTTGACAGAGACACAGCGAGCGAGGGAACACAAGCAGGGGGAGTGGGAGAGGGAGAAGCAGGCTTCCCGCCGAGCAGGGAGCCCGATGCGGGACTCGATCCCAGGACCCCAGGATCATGACCTGAGCCGAAGGCAGATGCTTAACTGACTGAGCCACTCAGGCGCCCCCCAAATCATATTTTCTTTACCTTGTCACCTCCCATGGATGACTTAAAATTTACGAAATCTGCCCTGCATCATAATATAGGTCGTGGTGCAGTTAGTAGCCAGAGGAAAGAAGTGTCTTAGATAAAATCAGAGGGAGAACTATTATAAAAGTATGTTATGTTATCTTATCTAAAAACAAATCTAGGGGCACCTGGGTGGTTCAGTTGTTAAGCGTCTGCCTTCAGCTCAGGTCATGATCCCAGGGTCCTGGGATCGAGCCCCGCATCGGGCTCCCTGCTCGGCGGGGGGTCTCATTTTCCCTCTCCCACTCCCCCTCCTCTCTGTCTCTCTCTGTCTCTCACGAATGAATAAATAAAATCTTAAAAAAATAAGTAAATAAATAACAAACCTATTATAGGGCAGTAATATAACATCATTATTGTTTATAAAGGACTGTACTATTTCTAATCAACTTGTAGTGAAAGCCCTCACGGTGTCCGCCGGCGACAATCTCGTAATGACTTTACCGGAGGACCAAGTGGACCTGAAGGCTTTTGTTGTGCGTGCGCCCCCTGCAGGTGAGAGCTTGACTTCCCTTCGTGACACCAGAGGCCGGTGGGCTGGGTCGCTCTTCACCGGTCTTTACAGGTTACTCACCGCACCGTGAGAGGTCGCGACCGAAGGCCAAGGCCGAGAGCGCTGACGAGGCTCTGCTGGTCGTAAGCATTCAGCCTCACTGAGATAGTTTAAAATCGAGGAGTGTGGGAAACTGAATACAGGACATGTCCTTCCATTGGTTGGGACAGAAGGTCACGCGTTGCTGAGGATGCAAAGCAAGGGGTGAATTAGAGCGCAGGAGAGGTGTCCCCGTCCCAGAGCCTGAGCTGTGCTGACCCACAGAGCCCGGGAAGATTGCACTGAGAGGCGACGGGGTGTGTGCCGCGCTCTGTTGACAGGTATGCCCCTGCTGACAGCAGGGCTCTGGGGTGCTCAGGGTGCCTCACGCCAGCTCCTTGAAACGTGTTGCTCAAAGTGCCCTTTCTTCTGCTCGAGCAGCGCTCTCCTCTTCCCCAAACATGGGTGCTCTCCCCCTGACCTGTCAGAGGTCTTCTTTCTTAGGCTGTGTTCGTTCCCACAGTGCTGAGTGGTTCTCATGCAGGTGTTCCTTCATTCGTTCCCCCTACCACATATGGGTCGACATTGAAGCAGAGGTGATGATATTTGGCATTTGTCTGTAATGCTGTCGGCTGAGGCACTTCTCCCTTGAACTACTAGCATCTCACGGTGGGAGACCGCTTCACCTTCATACAGAAGGTTTCATCGTGTTGGTGTCCTTAAAGAAACCCCACAACAGATGAAACCAATGGAAATCTCCTTGCCTTTTATTAAAAGGAGAAGAAGTACAGTGGATTATACCAGGTGGAAATGTAGATACACATCCGTAGTCACCCTGAAAGGAATGTCATCAGATGCTACGTGGGAGATCAGGGAGATGTTTTTCTTTCTTTCACCTTCTACATGTCATGAATTTTGCATAAGCTGTATGTTCTTCTGATAGAACGGAAACTAAAAGGGTAGGAAACCCTGCTATTCCTTACCTGGATGAAGGTTGGCGGCAGAGTTCAGAGTGTCTCAGGTACCCCTCCCGCTGGAGTCAGGGCTGTCATCCTCTTGCCTCCGCCCAGATTGTGTACGGCGACCTTCCCGAGTTTATGACGACTCATATTTCTGTTTTTGCTCCCAGAAACCACCTACAGCTACGAATGGAGTTTAATAAGCCACCCTGTCAACTACCGAGATGAAATAAAAGAAAGACACATGCAAACTCTTCATGTCTCTCATGTAAGTAACTGGAGGCTGTTTGTGTCAGAGGTTGAACCCCGAAATCTGTTTTATGATGACAGAAGGTGATAAATGAATGAACTTCCTGCTGTGTAGACAGACAGGCAGATGGTGAAAGAAGGAGACTTTCGGATGGTTTTTCTTTATTTGAATGACTTGGCATATCAGCTTGGAGAAAAGAGGCTGGTTGCCCAAGGGTCTCTGTGGTGAGGTTGCAAAGTCTGTCTTCCAAGTCCCATTCTCTCTCTCTCTCTCTTTTTTTTTATTTCAAAGATCTTATTTATTCATTCATGAGACACAGAGAGAGACAGAGAGGAGGGGGAGTGGGAGAGGGAGAAGCAGGCTTCCCGCTGAGCAGGGAGCCCGATGCGGGGCTCGATCCCAGGACCCTGGGATCATGACCTGAGCCGAAGGCAGACGCTTAATGACTGAGCTGCCCAGGCGCCCCGGCCCTGTTCTCTGTGCAGTGGTAGAGACATTCTGGTTCTGTCTGCTTCCCAGCAGAGCTGCCAGTAATCCCATTCCAGCTGCCGAATGCTTTGGCTCCAGGAGGTAGGCCCCTCACCAGAAGAAACACGCCCCCCTCCCGAACCATAAGGATCAATAAACTGACTGAGCTGCCCGGGGTCTGGTTTCCCGCCGGATGACTATCTCCTCTTGGTTCCTGAGACCGCACAGCTGGGGGTGAGCGTGAGCTCCCCTCTCGCCTGCGTCCCTGAGCCCTGCTTCTCCGAGTGTGGCACCCGGACCACCGACGGCCGCCTCGCCCAGCGACTTAGTAAAAACAGCGTGATTCCCATGCCCACGAGCTGCTGCCCTCGGCCGTTCGGGCTCCGTGGGCGTCTGTCCGCCCGTGAGCGTCCGTAACCAGGCCGCGGGCCCTTCCTGCGTGACCCTCGACCCTGGGGCACTGTCGGCACCTCTCCCGAGGAGACGCTCCCCAGCCCCTGCGCTCCGCTCACTTCAGGACTGCGGCTTCTGTGAGGTGTTAGCACTTTCTAGGCAGTGGACCCGTCACGTCTTCGGTGTGTTTACCTGTGTAACTTTTCTTTACGTTGCAGTTGTCAGCAGGACTTTATGCCTTCAAAGTAGCAGTTTCTGGTGAAAATGCCTTTGGAGAAGGATTTGTCAATGTCACAGTTAAGCCAGGTAAGCCTGTGTGAGAGAATGCGTGTATCTCCGTTTTGGGTGCCTGAATAACTTGCTAATCTATCTTTTTTATTTTTACGTTTGGCTCTACTCTAGAGAACATATGCAACGATTCTCCTTTGTTCTTTTGTTTTCCTTTCCGAGGTCTGTGTAATTCTTAGTACTTGCTTAACGCTGCTATTTAAGGTTGACCTGAGGAGGTGGCACAGGGCCGCCCCTTGGCCGTCTCCTTTGCTCTGGGCACTCTTCCACTTCCATTCCCCAGGACTCAGCCTCACCTTCCGCGGGGGTCGGGGGGTGCGGGTTTCAGATACCGTCCGCTGAGCACCTGAGGTCAGGCCGCCAGCAACCCACAGGCCAGTGCATTCGTGTGAATTAGAAGCGGGGCCCTTTGTCTGCGTGGGCCCAGCCTGCGCACCTGAGGCGGCCCACCGTTCTGCCAGCTCTGCCTCCCAGCTGTCCCTCAGGCTTTGCCCATTCTGCCTGACTGTTATCCCAGCCAGAGCGGGTGCTGGGGGAGGGGAGGGTGCATGCACTCGAAGATTGAACACCCAGGTGACGGCTCTAGGAGCTGGAACTGGACTCCACTGCTCCTTGCCTGCAGTTAGCACTCATGTTCTTGATGAAGCCCTGGGTTATCATCACACATGTCCCCTGAGCCTGGGCTTATCTGCAGAAATGTAAATCTGCAGACAAGCTCCTAAAATTTAATAGGAAAGTTCCAAACCGTTCGGAATTACTCTCCACAGTTGAGCCTGTAGGGTAAATGCCTTTTTTTTTTTTTTTTTAAGATTTTATTTATTGGGGCGCCTGGATGGCTTAGTCGTTGAGCGTCTGCCTTCGGCTCAGACCATGATCCAGGGTCCTGGGATCGAGTCCCGCTCCCTGCTCCACGGGGAGCCTGCTTCTCCCTCTGCCTCTGCCCCTCCCCTCTGTGCATGCTCACTCTCTCTCTGACAAAATAAGATAAAATAAAATAGAAAAAAAAGACTTTATTTTTTTGAGAGAGAGTTGAAAGCGACAGAGAGAGAGCATGGGCAGGGGGAGGAGCAGAGGGAGAAGCAGACTCCCTACTGAGTGGGGAGCCCGATGCAGACTCGATCCTGGGACTCCAGGATCATGACCTGAACCTAAGACAGATGCTTAACCGACTGAGCCACCCAGGCGTCCCGGGATAAACACCATCTTGACAGGATGTTTTAACCAACTTTTAAAAAGCAGATGATTTTATTGGGGTTACGATCTGTGCACACGTAAGGGGCTCAGTGTCCCTTCCTCTGTCACACAGCCAGAAGAGTCAACCTGCCCCCCACAGCGGTGGTTTCTCCCCAGATGCAAGCCCTCACCCTGCCTTGGACGTCGGCCTTCCTCGATGGCAGCCGTGGGTACCTGCGACGCGTCAGGGCCTCTCCGCCCTGCACAGGGCGAGGTTGTATGGTGCTGTGGGTGGAGGCTGGGAGGGCTCATGCACCAAGGAGGACGCAAGAGCGTCTCTGTCGTTGTGCGTGTGGCTCACAGCCCTGGGGCCCCTTCATCACAGCTTTGTGCCGAGCTCATCTTGCAGTATGTCCCACCTGTCCGTGAAGACTTCCTTAGAGCCTAACTGTTCGATTTGGAATTAAAGCGATTCTTAGAGAATCTCCTTTTGACGAGGTGTATGTGATGAGCAATTGGAAAACCACGTTCACAAATATGAGAAGGGTTGCCTTCATCTAGGGTGGGTAGGGTTTATTATTCAATCGGAGTTCATTCCTTCTCTTATATGTGGAAGGGGCCCCTGACTCCAGGCCTCCGTGCAGGTGAAGAGAGATGAAAACATTCCCTACGTTTGGCAGTATATTAATATAGACAGAGACGTATGACAAAATAAGTTCAATCTCAGTGTAACCGGTATTTGCATTTATGTACATTTCATCACAAAGCTAATACCAGAGCTGGTGGAGTAAAGAATCTTTGCCTTGGTTGTTGGAAGAAGGGTAATTGTCAGCAGCTAATGCGGCTCCATTTTGCAAGTCTGCAAATACACAGAAATCACACTGACCTCACCATCTGTGCCTATTCAAATATAAATATCCACATTTCCCCCCTTCCCAGCTTGAAAACAAAGCATATTTTAGATGAAAATATTTACATGAGGGAATGTACCACATTTTGATTTCTCTAATGCAGGACAGCTCAGGTACAGGAAAGTGGGGTTATTAATCTGTCATTTGAACTAGTTTGTTCTTTCCCTGCATTAGATGCAGCGGGCTCCCTTCCAGGTCTAAGTCTCTGATTCTACGCAGCACATTGGTTTGCTCTCTCCCAAAGCAGAAAAGGGAAGTTTTCTTGTAGGGTACTACCTTTGTCTGGATTTACACCTGAATGATGGGGATAGTAAAGGCGTGTTGTATTTATATGTAAGCATCTCTTAATTCTTTATCGGTCACTTCAGATACGTACGGAAAATACCAGGAAGGTATCACGTGCTGTAGTCGAGATGAGTAGAAGTAGCATTTCAATATGGTACATCTGCTTGACTCCTGTTCTTCAAAAAGCAAGAGTGCCTGTCACTGTGCTTTTTTAAATTCACAACTGAGGAAATTCAGGAGGAAAATAGTGATGATAGTTTAGGGAGAAGAAGAGATCCTCCTGCCAGCACATAAGACATGTCCATTGAAATCTATGTAATTCTATAATTCAATGCAAAAACAAATTTAAGCATGAAGACAATAAATTACAAAATTTATGTTTTACTGTTGTTGCATTTCATTCTAGCCTTCACTTATTTTTAAATCTTTATTTGTGGAACATAAGGAATACCATGGAGGACATTAGGAGAAGGAAGGCAAAAATGAAGGGGGGGAATCGGAGGGGGAGATGAACCATGAGAGACGATGGACTCTGAGAAACAAACTGAGGGTTCTAGAGGGGAGGGGGGTGGGAGGATGGGTTAGCCTGGTGGTGGGTATTAAAGAGGGCACGTTCTGCATGGAGCACTGGGTGTTCTGCACAAACAATGAATCATGGAACACTACATCAAAAACTAATGATGTATGGTGATTAACATAACATAATAAAATAAAACAAAATTTAAATAAGTAAATAAATCTTTCTAGAAAGTACGGATGACACTAAAATCGTCAATTACCACTGGGAAGAAATTAGCGGCCCCTTCCGAGAGGAGACTCCCACAGATTCCCCCGTCCTACATCTGTCTAACCTCGTTCCTGGAAACTACACTTTCAGGCAAGTGGTTTCTCCACCTTTGTTGTGCTTTCAGAACTTGTGTTGTGACTATTTCCTTAAACTCCTGCCTTTACACTACACTGTGTCTCTTTTCATTTTGATCAAGAGGTCAAGGCCGTTGAGGTTTCCTTGGGGGTTTTGGTTGGCAGCCACTTTCGACTGATAGGCTCATGACTGAGTATGAATTGGAAGGGCCTGGTTATTGGAAACATTTGGTTTTGTTTGTAGGAATGGTATGGGGATGGCATCCTTTTGCTGTGTTGTTATGTGAAAGAAATTTTGTATCTTCAGGGTGAGGCAGAGTTGTGTGATTTATGTTTCTTAATCTTTTTCTTTCCATAACTTTTAAAGATATAACTGAAGCATAATGAACTGTGCATGATTAAGATACAACACTTGATGAGTTTTGACATGTGACTGTCTGGAAGACCATCACCACAATCAAGATAATAAACATGTCCCTCAACCTGGAAGTCTCCTCATGCCCCTTGGATTTCCATTTGTCTCTTCACTCCTGTCCTTGGGCAGCACAGAGCTGCTTTCTGTCAGTTTAAATTATTTTGTACTGTCTAGAATTTCACATAAATGGAATCATATAATATGTACTCCTTTTTACCTGTGTCTTCTTTCACTCTGCAAATGATTTTGATTCATCCATATCGTCTGTCCAATAGGTTGTTCCTTTTTGTTGCTGACTACTATTCTGGTCTGTGGATATACCACAATTTATTTATCCTTCCATCTATCTAGTATGGACATCTGGGCTATTTATAGCTTTGAACTACTACAAATAAAGGTGCCATTAACATTTACTTTAAGTATTTGTGTGGACAGGTATTTTTATTTTTATGGGGTAAATCGTGGAATAGTGGGAAGGTCTGGTTCTATGGTGAGTTTATGTTTAACATTTTAAGAAATTGCCAAGCTCTTTCCTGAGGTGGGTGTTCCAGTCTCCACATACTCACCAATACTTGGTATAGTCAGTCTTTTTAATTTAATTTAATGAATGGTAGTATCTCCTTATGGTTTTAATTTGCATTTTCGTGATGACCAATCATAATAAGCATATTTTCAGGTGCTTATTGGCCATTCATATAACTTCTTCTGTGAAGTATCCTTTTCCTATTTTATTTTTTTAAATGTCCCCTTTATTTTTTTAAGTAAACTGCCTCAACATGGGGGCTCAAACTCATGACCCTAAGACCAAGAGTCGCATGTTCTACCAACTGAGCCAGCCAGGTGCCCTTTCTTTCCTTATTTAAAAAATTGTATTGTTTGTCTTATTTAGTTTTAAGAGACTTTATACATTCTTTTTTTAAAGATTTTTATTTATTTATTTGACAGAGAGAGCAGGGGGAGGTGCAGAGGGAGAGGGAGAAGCAGGCTTCCCACTGAGCAGGGAGCCCGATGTGGGGCTCGATCCCAGGATGCTGGGATCATGACCTGAGCCGAAGGCAGATGCCCAACCGACTGAGCCACCCATGCACCCCAAGTCTTTATACATTCTGAAACAAGCTCATTATTTTATATATGTGTTGTGGATATTTTCTGTCAGTATATGATTTTTTTATTTTCTTAATCTTTCAATAGCTTCTCAACCTTTTGGCTAAGATCAAGTGTATTTTCTTAATCTTTGAAAGAGCAAAAATTCTACGTTTTGATGGAAGTCTAATTCATCAATTTTTTTTCTTTTGTTTTATGCTTTTTGTGTTCTAATTAAGTAAGCTTTGCCTATCCTAAGACTGTAAAGATTTCCTATGTTTTTTTCTAGTACCTCTGTAGTTCTAGGTTTTATATTTAGATCTTTGATCTCTTTTGAGTTATTTTTATGTATTGTGTGGTATTTTTGAATGTTAAATCAACCTTGCATTCATGGAGTAAATGTATTTGGTCATGATATCCTTTTTATATAGCATTGGATTAAACTTGCTAATATTTTGGTAAGGGTTTTTTGTCTATCTTCATGAGAGATATTGGTCAATGCCATTCTTTCTTTTTTTTGCAGTGTCTTTGTCAAGTTTGGGTATGAGGATCACTCTGGCCTGATGAAACAAGGTGGCCAGTGATCTCTCCTCCTCTACTTTCTGAAACATTTGTGAACAACTTGTGGTGTTTCTTCCTTGAATGTTTGATAGAATTCACCAGTAAAATCACTGGGCCTGGAGTTTTCTTTTTGGGAAAGTTTTTGATAGCAAATGTAATTTTTAAAATAGTTGTAAGGCTATTTAGATTTTCTGTTGCTGGTTTTATATTTTCCTTGCATAGGTTTTTGATAAGTTGTATTTTGCAAGAACCTTGTCTAATCCATCTAAATTGTCAAATTTGTTGGCACAAAGGGTTTTATAGTATTTTCATATTATCCTTTCATACCCATAGAATCTGTGGTGATAACTCCTTTTTTATTTACTCTATTGATGACTTGTGTTCTCTTTTTTCTGATCAGTCTAATTAAGGATTTTGTTAATTTTGTTTATCTTTTCAAAGAACCCCTAACTAGAGCTGTGTTAATTTTGTTTATTTTCTAATTTGTTGGTTTCTGCTCATATCTTTATTATTTCTTTACTTTTATTTACTTTTGATTTACTTTGCTCTTCTTCTAAATTCTTAGAGTAGAATCTTGGATCATTCATATTAAATCTTCCTTAAGGGTGCCTGGGTGGCTCAGTTGGTTAAGCGACTGCCTTCGGCTCAGGTCATGATCCTGGAGTCCCGGAATCAAATCCCGTATCAGGCTCCCTGCTCAGCAGGGAGTCTGCTTCTCCCTCTCCCGCTCCCCGCTCTTGTGCTCTCTCTCTCAAATAAATAAATAAAATCTTTAAATAAATAAATAAATCTTCCTTAAATGTCTATCAAGACTTTAAAACTATAATTTTCCTCTAAGTACTCTTTAATTGTATCCCACATATTTTGGCTTATTATATTTTTAAGGCCTTGAAGAATTTAATGATTTCAAAGAAATCCATCTATCCATGCATCCATATATCTATGAATCTTCTGAAGTCTGACTAGGGTAAGAAATTCCCAGGCATCTGATTGGATTCATCTTTGACTAAAAAGTTCACAGAGGTGCTCTAGAGTATTTTACATTGTACATGTGTTGTGAAAACGTTTATTTGAAATCTCAGCTTAAGAAGTAGCTTACCCCATTAGGATGGCTTATTATTTAAAAAGTGGAAAGTAAGTGTTGGTGAGGATATGGTGAAATGGGAACCCTTGGGCACTGCTGGTGGGAAAGTAAAATGGTGCACCTGCGCAGAGAATAGTTTGTTAGTTCCTCAAAACATTAAGCATAGAATTACCATGTCTGTATCTTGCTTCTAGATAGAGAAGAACTTGCTTCTAGATAGAGATAGACCCCCAAAGAATTGATAGCAGGGACTCAAACAGATACTTGTACACTCATATTGTATATGTTCATGCCACTTTATGCGGTTATTTTGATTCTTTTTTTTATTTCAAGTTTTTATTTAAGTTCTAGATAGCTAACATATAATGTAGTATTGGTTTCAGGAGAATTCAGTGATTCATCAGTCTCATGTAACACCCAGTGCTCATTACATCACATGCCCTCCTTAATGCCCATCACCCAGTTACCCCATCCCCCCACCCCCCTCCCCTCCAGCAACCCTTAGCTTGTTCTCTATAGTTGAGATTCTCTCATGGTTTGCCTCCCTCTCTTTTCATTTCTTTTCTTACTTCCCCTATGTTCATCTGTTTCTTAAATTCCACATATGAGTGAAATCATATGATTTTGTTTTTCTCTGACTTATTTCACTTAGTATTGTACTTTCTAGCTCCATCCACATCATTGCAAATGGCAAGAATTCATCCTTTTTGATGGCTGAGTAATATTCCATTATATATATACCACATCTGCTTTATCCATTCATCAGCCAATGGACATTTGGGCTGCTTCCATAATTTGGCTATTGTTGATAATATTGCTATGAACAATGGGGTGCATGTGCCCCTTTGAATTAGTATTTTTGTATCCTTTGGATAAATACCTGGTAGTGTACTTGCTGGATCATAATGTTGTCCTATATTTAACCTTTTGAGGAAATCTACTGTTTTCCACAGTGGCTGCACCAGCTTGCATTCCCACCAACAGTGTAGGCGGGTTCCCCTTTCTCCGCATCCCCGCCAACATCTGTCGTTTCCTGACTTGTTAATTTTAGCCAATCTGACTGGTGTGAGGTGGTATCTCATTGAGGTTTTGATTTGGATTTCCCTGATGCCGAGCAATGTTGAGCACTTTTTCATGTGTCTGTTGGCCATTTGGATGTCTTCTTTGGAAAAATGTCTGTTCATGTCTTCTGCCCGTTTCTCCCATCCAAGTACTAACCAGGCCCGACCCTGCTTAGCTTCCGAGATCAGACGAGATCGGGCGCGTTCAGGGTGGTACGGCCGTAGACTCTTCTGCCCATTTCTTAACTGGTTTATTTATTTGTTTTTTGGCGTTGACTTTGATAAGTTCTTTATAGATTTTGGATACTAGCCCTTTATCTGATAATGTTGTTTGCAAATATCTTCTCCCATCCTGTAGGTTGCCTTTTAGTCTTGTTGATTGTTTCCTTTGCTGTGCAGAAGCTTTTTATCTTGATGAAATCCCAATAGTTCATTTTTGCCTTTGTTTCCCTTGCCTCCAGAGACGTGTCTAGGGACAAGTTGCTCTGGCCGAGGTCACAGAGGTCACAGGTGTTCTCCTCTAGGACTTTTTTTTTAAAAGATTTTATTTATTTATTTGACAGAGAAACAGCAAGAGAAGGAACATAAGCAGGGGGAGTGGGGGAGGGAGAAGCAGGCTTCCCGCCGAGGAGGGAGCCCGATGCAGGGCTCAATCCCAGGGCCCTGGGATCGTGACCTGAGCTGAAGGCAGATGCTTAACGACTGAGCCACCGAGGTGCCCCTCTCCTCTAGGATTTTGATGGATTCCTGTCTTACATTTAGGTCTTTCATCCATTTTGAGTTTATTTTTGTGCATGGTGTAAGAAAGCGGT